CAGACAGACAGACAGACAGACAGACAGACAGACAGACAGACAGACAGACAGACAGACAGACAGACAGACAGACAGACAGACAGACAGACAGTATGCTGTCTGAAAAAAAACAAGTTTTTCATAGTCATCATTATGACAGTGACAGTGGGGAGTTCCAAAATATACAAGATACCACAAAGATATTATAAGATGAGAAATGATGAACACCATTTATATGGACACACAAAAACAATTTTAGAATGGTATAAAAATATAATACCCAGCTTACAGAGTTTCAACATGTCACAGAGGAAGCTCTGATCTGGCATTATAACAAATGTTGAAAAATTCATCTGACTATTTGTATGCCTCAACTCAAAGAAGAGAAGAGATTATATTCTTCTTTTTTATTTTGGCTGGATTATTTTTTCTCATTTTCAAAGCCGCTCATTAATCCCTACTATAGATAATAATGACTGAAAATTCATCACCTTGATAGAAAAAAAAATCAGAAATAACAGAAACCGAAAACAGCAGAGTGGGACAAGTAAAGTCCTGATGGTAACTGTTAAGAATGTAAAAAAGACTGTTCAAAACTTATTCTTAAAAAAAAAGACATTCTTAAAGGATTTTGAAAATAAAAAACTGTGAAGGTTCTATATATCCATATTCGGTTTAGTGCACTGGGAATTCTTTCAAGAATAGAGGATGATAAGATTTATAGACAACACAAGCAAAGACTTACGTGTCATCAGTGCTGTAGCTATTATCGGTAGAGGTATCCATTTGAGCAGCGGCTAGTCGAATCTGCAGTAAATCCCGTTCTGCTTTGACATGTTTGAGTTCCGACTCCATTCTTTCAATCTGCATTTGTTGCAACATTATGATCTTATCCCTATCCTCCAGGATAGACAGAACTCTCTGCTCATCCTCCGTGGACAGAGAGCCGAGCATAGGGTCTAAGTCTGAGAGCTTTTTCTTCGATTCCATGTTGTAAGAATTTTTTAAAGTCCAGTCAGCGTCACTTCACTACAAATAAGGGCATGGAAATGCAAAATAGTGGAGACTTCTTGTTAATAAGTGAGATCACTCTTGAACAGCATAAAAAGTAATAATTAGGATATAAGGTAGGCCTACATTATATATTTACAAGCGATTTACACAGGCATTTTTATACTTTAAAATTTACTGTGGGATGAATTCTCAGGAATGAATACATTGGAAACCTCACAGATCTAACTGCACTAGAGTCTACATCTAAGAAGCAGATCTAGATCTAGATCTATCATTGAATTGCACAGGTAGCCTACTAGATTTGTATCGTTAATTGCTAGATCTGAATGAATGTAGATCTATGTTCTAGATTTCTAGTTCTTGAAAGAACACATTGTGATTGGAATCACACAACTGGAATCTAAATCAGGCCTGATAAACAGACTATAAAACGACTCTAGATAGATTAGACTAGATCTAGATTCTAGATCTAGATATATCTAGATCTATATTGAAATACCACAGCAACACACGTTTTACTCAACAAACTAAAGTTCCAGCTTCTTATGTCTAAAATTAACTTAGCTCTTGGCCTACCTACCTTGTTTTGGGGCTATTTCGGATGCCGCATTCTGCAAACACAACAGCTATTTCATTTATTAACTTTCTCTGGATAGATCGAAGGTACAACTGACAATTGATAATTGAATTAGAATCTAGATCTAGATATAGATCTAGATATAGATCTAGATTATAGATCTCTAGATTAGTATATTCTTGAATTGAACTGACGATGGATGATACAACAAGGTAAACTGTTTACTTTCAGTGATGGTAAATCGAAAGTACAACAATAACAACTTGAAATCCCAATAGATCAAGAACTATTTGGATCCAGATCGAAACCGAACTTGAGACAATAACAATGACGGGAAATTAAAATTAAAATAATCACTTTGTCAACAGTAGGCCTACAGCACATATATTTTAACATGCACACCTTTGCACAGGGCTAAATCTGTCCCTCCACTTCCTGTATTTTTGTCCCCAGCGCACACACTGCTTTATCAGTCCCCAAAGAAAGGCCCATTCGGTCCTAAGTTAGGTAACCCGGTGATATCAGTTCTGTCGTGCAAATCACGACAAAGTCCGAACACGGTGACAAAACAAATGTTATCAACACTTCACATAACAACAACTTTACACAGGAGATCACTTCACACACTAAAAATCAAATACTGTAGAAAACGCAGGCCACGTAAATAATCCTCTCTCCGAAAGTTTGAAAGTTGGGCACCACACTGCGTGAACGAATACGACCCTCTCTGTGATCGTCTGGCCCCGTGTTTTGGTCGCGCGGTGACCCGAAACTTTTGTCTACCGTGGAAAAGGGGCCGGATGTCAGGTGACGTCGCATGCGCAGTGATAGAACACAGCGCAGATAGCAGACGTTATAGGCCTACCTGCTCAGGTGAGAGAGCGAGGGAGAAGCGGGGGTTTCAAGAAACTGCTCGCTGTGCACTCGCGCTTTGATAGGCATTTCTCAAAGAATTGATTCGGCTGGATGATCTCAGGACACTGTAACTCTCCTGCAGTCAGCAGTAGGCTAGCAAGCCTTTTCCTGCCAAAACAAAAACGGGAAGAAAATGAAAATGAAGTAAACTTGACCGACCATCCGACCATGCATGTATAATTAATATAAATATCATGAATATACAAATATTTTCCTCCCAGTCTCCTGTGACTGTAAAAGTGTGTTTGTTTGTGAGTGTCTGTACGTATGTGCCTGAGCGATTAGTAAGTGTGTGCGCGCGCACGTTTTGTAAAAAGGGATTTGAGAATATGTACCGTTAACACAGCGTTAACACAAACCAGCATAAACACAGACAGACAGACAGACAGACAGACAGACAGACAGACAGACAGACAGACAGACA